CTACTGATAATATAAGCAACCAATTAAACTCTAATGGCTACAAGACTTTTCGCTGTAAGATGAGGAAACCTGGGTCCAGGAAGGGATCCAAGACTGCTTGGGTGGAAGAATCACGGTCCACATCTCAGGGCCTACCCACTGGTCACCCACCCTCCACCAACCAGAGCTGCTCTGCTCAGAACCTTGAGCGGCTCACCCGGCTCTCTCCCAAAGGACCCTTGACTCACTGAGTAGAAGGTAAAGCCTTAACTGCTGACCAGAAACTGAGCACCAAAAGTGGGATGGGGAAGGAAGTGGCCTGGGGCAGGGCCAGAGCCTGATTCGGTGGCAGGGCAAACAGAAAATGAGCCTATCATGAAAAAGAGGGAGGGGATACAGAGGAAGAATGGCTGGTTTATATTAGACTAAAAAGATATAACAACAATATGCGATACGGGAACCATGACCCAATCCTGGCTTTAAAACACACAGCTCTAAAAATCACTTTGATAATAGCAGAAGAAACTGAAATAGTTCCAGATACTACCAACCTCACTCCACAGCTTCTCCTAAGCCCAGCCATGCCCCTAAATAAGGGTACCACCATCGTCACCTTCTGGTAAAAGACTTATTGACTCATTGTATCCTTGTCTATGTCCCCAGGCAACACTGAAGCTCCCTGATCCTAGGGTGTTTTACTTGCCTTGTTTGATGCTTCATCCCCAGAGCCTGGCACATATTAGGTGCTCCATAAATATTTGTTAACTGAATGACCACTGTATATGTCATTCCACAACTTGCATTTTCCATCTCACAGTGTTTTGAGATTGATCTGGATTAATAACCATTACACAAGTCTTGTTCATTTGACCTGCTTTTGGTATTGCATCGCATGCTTCACACTTTATTTTTTCCCAATGATGAGTATTTCTAGTCTTCCACTTTAATAAACAATGTTACAATCAGCATTTTTACATGTGAGAGGGCTGGGCATGGAGCTCAGCAGTAGAGGGTGTACCTAGCACCCAAGTGGCCCTGGGTTCAATCCCCAGCATCACAGAAAAAAACAAGTATGGTATTTCATTTTTTTGGGATGTTACTGTGAAAGGAGTTGTTTCTCCAGTTGCTCTCTCAGTGAGTCTGTTATTCATGTAAAGGAAGGATATTGATTTTTGTGTGTTGACCTTGTATCCAGCTACTCCACTGAATTTGGTTATTAAGTCTAGAAGACTTTTGGTGGAGTTCTTGGGGTCTTAGAGTATCTGTCATCTGCAAATAATGGCAATTTAACTTCTTCATTCCCTATCTTTATTCCTTTTATTTCTTTCTCTTGTCTAATTGCTGTGGCAAATGTTTCCAGAATTATATTGAACAGGAGTGGTGATAATGGACATCCCTGTCTCTTGCTCCTGATTTTAGTATGAAGGATTTCCATTTTTAACCATTTAGTATGATGTTGGCTATTGGTTTTTCATAGATGGCTTTTATCAGGTTGAGATGAAGACCATCTATTCCAATTTTTTGTAGGGTTTTTATCATGAATGGGTGTTGGATTTTGTCAAATGCTTTTTCTGTATCTATTGAGATCCTCATATGTTTTTTGTCCTTGGCTCTGTTAATATAGTGTATTACATTTATTGATTTGCATATGTTGAAATACCTAGGAATGAATATAATGAAAGCAATAAAAGACCTCTACTCTGAAAACTACAGTGCTCTTAAAAAAAGAGATTGAAGAGGATATCAGAAAATGGAAAGACATCCCTTGCTCGTGGGTAGGAAGAACAAATGGAGTGAAAATGGCCATACTTCCAAAACTGCTATTTAGATTCAATGCAATCCCAATTGAAATTCCAACAGCATACCTGACAGAACTAGAGAAAACAATCCAGAAATTCATTTGGAACAAGAAGAGACCTAGAATAGCAAAAGCAATTCTAGGCATCAAAGATAAGGTAAGGGGTATAACAATTCCCAACTTGAATCTATACTACAAAGCTACTGTGATAAAAACACCATGGTACTGGCAAAGAAATAGACCCGAGGATCAGTGGAACAGATTAGAAGATCAGAAACAACTCCAGACAACTCAGCTACCTCATCTTTGGCAAAGAAGCCAAACACCCTCCCTGGAGGAAAGATGGCCTCTTTAATAAATGATGTTGGAAAAATTGGGTTTCAACTTGCCCAAGATTAAAACTAGACTTACATCTCTCACCACGCACTAAACTAAAATCAAAATGTTCAAAGAGGGCTGGGATTTAGCTCAGTGGTTCTGCTGCCTGCCTCACAAGCCCAAGGTCCCGAGTTTGATCCCCGGTACCAAAAAAAAAAAAAAAAAGTGGTTCAAAGATCTAAATATTAAAACAGAAACACTAAACCAGTTAGAAGAGAGGTTAGGTAGAACTCTTGAAGACATTGACATAGGAAAAGATTTCATGAACAAAACCTCAGTCGCATGTGAACTAGCACAAAGAATCAACAACTGAGATCTCATCTTATTAAAAAGCTTCTGCACAGCAAGAGAAACCACCAACAGAGTGAAGAGACAACCTACAATGTGGGAAAAATTTTTTACCAGCTGTTCCTCAGACAAAGGTCTACTATCTAGAATATATAAAGAACTTAAAAAAAATCAGACCTCCCAAATTTAAAGACCCAATCCAAAAATGAGCATCTGAAATGAACAGACATTTCTCAGACAAAAAAGTAAAAGCAGCAAATAAATATATGAAAAAATGTTTAACATCACTGGTCATTTGAGAGAAGCAAATGAAAACAACAATGAGATTCACTTCACTCCAGAAAGAATGGCTGCTATCAAGAAATCAACTAATAACAAATGCTGGCGGGGTTGTTGGGAAAAAGAAACCTTTCTCCACTGTTGGTGGGAGTGTTGACTGGTGCAACCATTGTGGAAATCAATATGGAGATACCTCAAAGAACTAGGATTAGAGGTCCCATTTGACCCACCTATTGCACTGCTGGGGATCTTCCCAAAAGAATTAAAAGAATCATAGCACAGTGATACATGTGCACCCATGTTCATAGAGGCACAGTTTGTGATAGCTAAAACTTGGAAACAGCCCAATTGCCCATGGTGACTGGATAAAGAAGATGCGTTTTTTAAATAAAATAGAGTACTATTCAGCCATAAAGAATGAGAAACTAGCCCGGGGATTTAGCTCAGTGGTTCTGCCACCTGCCTTGCAAGCGGAAGGTCCTAAGTTCAATCTCCGGTAACAAAAAAAAAAAGAAAGAAAGAATGAGAAACTATAGACATTTATAGCTAAATGGATGCATATTGAGGCCATACTCTTAAGTGAAATAAATAAGACACACATGTGTTAAATACCAAATAGTTTCTCTCATGTGAGAAACTGAAAGTGTAAATAAGGATCAAAATGTATAATAGATAATGTGTAATAGGAAGACAAGGCCCAAAAGGGAAGGGGAAATGGGAGGGGTTGGGGAAGGGAAAGAAATAAATATGAGCAAAGCAAAAAATGGAAACAAAGTCTTTGTAAATAGGGAGGGGTGGAGTGGTGGAAGGGAGGGCAGGCAAATGGGGAAGAAAAATAAGAACCAAGATATATCATGTGAAGGTACAAATTCCAAATGATGATTGTAACTGTATTGTATACCTAAAATGTACCAATAAACGTAATGAATTAAAAAAAAAAAACAAGTATGGGCTGGGGGTGGTGCTCAGTGGTAGACCATGTGTTTAGAATGTGTGAGGCCCAGGTTCAGTTCCAAGTACCACATTAAAAAAACAATTTTTTTTTTGCATGGACTGAGGGTTTCTCTAGGGTTGGTGTCTGAGATGGACTTGCTGAGTTAAAGGCCACGTGCATCCTCAGTGTTACCAGATATGGTAACATTGCTCTCTGCATTGGCGACACCAAGCCACCCTTGCCACAGATCGTCTTGTTTCACCACATCCCTTACCAGCACAGTACTGCAGATTTGCATTTTTTGCTTATCTAATGAGTGGATCCAGATAATATTGTAATTTATTTATTTATTTATTTACTTATTCGTGTTTTTGCAGTGCTGGGGATTGAACCCAGGGCCTTATGCATGCTAGGCAAGTGCTCTGCCACTGCGTTACACACCCAGCCCAAGATGATATTTTTTTTGGACATAGTAGTTTGCTTACTTGCTTGCTTTCTTGCTTTCTTTCTTTCTTTCTTTCTTTTTTTTTTTTACCAGTACCAGGGATCAAACTCAGGACCTCTCACTTGCAAGGCAAGTGAGGCGCCACTGAGGTAAATCCCCAGCTTCTCAAGATGATATTTTTAAAACATTAGTTAATGTTTATTAGCCTTAATTTGGCCAGAAACTGCACAAAGCCCTTCAGGCATATAATCTCAATCTTTGCAGCAACCTGTGAGGTTGGTAAGTCACCACCTCCCTAGGAAAGAGGAGAAACTGAGGCTCATGGCAGAACTCCTGCTGAGGTTGCTCAGCAAATAAGATTAAGGCTACCATTGGATCACGACTCCCAGAAATGCAGTTGCCTCCCCAAACCATCAACTCTCAGGCCTCATTTTTTCAATTTTTCTTTGATTTTTTTTTTGTGACTTTCCATATTTTTTTTTTTTTTGGTACCAGGGATCAAACTTGGGTCCTTGTGCTTGTGCAGCAGGCGACAAAACCACTGAGCTAAATCCCCAGCCCTTCCACATTTTTAATATTGAGCACACATTTTATAAGTAACAACAGAGCCTTCAAGAACTTTATTTTAAAATCATTCTTTAAGTTCCCTTCCCCTAGGCAGTGGTGCAGGGGGAGGCCTGAGGGAGGAGAAGGACAGGGACTCCAAGGACTCCAGAGCCCAGCCTGGGCCGACAGCCTCTCTTGCACCTTCTCTCTTTATCCTGCACATGCTCCTAAGAGTGAGAGGCCTATCCGCCCAGACTATGGTGGTGGGGTGCCAAGGTTTTCCCTGGGGTGCATCTCAGACTCCCCAGAGACCCGCTCGATCCTCACTGTCCCACCTGCTGGGCTGCACTCACCAGGTGCGGTTGTTGCTGGGATCTTGATGCAGAAGAGAGCTGAGCACAAAAGGCATGCTTGCCTCCCGCGTGACCCAGGGCTGGGCCACGTCCAGGTTGAAGGCCCCCAGGGGAGCCAGGTCTGTGGGCAAAAGAGGAACATTGGATGAAAAGAGACAAGGTGTTGAAGCTGTAACTGGTACTTAACTCCCATTATTCTACCAAACATTTTGGTGTCATTATACCCAGTTTAACCGATGAGAACATTGAGCTCCCCAGGTATGTTTCTTCCCCAGGGGAAGAGGAATGGATGGGGTGTGTCTGGCTCAGAGCCTCTCTGGTCCCCTCCCTAGCCGAGCTTCCCCAGAAGCAGCCTCTGCTCGGAGAGGCCGCCTCAGGTGCTCCTTCCCCCTGCCCTCTTCCCCGGCTCACATTCTGCAACTGCCGCCCTGCGCACACTTATCACTGTGACCCTCACAGAAGTTAGGATGGACTGTGCATTCTCGGAAAACAGCTGCACATGTGGCTCCAAGTGACCCACAAAAAAACTGATGTTCTCAAAAATAACTGCCCAGTGATGGTTTATAGCCGTTTTACTGGTAATTACCCCAAACTGGAAACAACATAAATACCCATCACCGGGACAGTGGATAAATTGTGGACCTTCATCCAACAGAATATGCCTCTCAGGAGTAAAAAGGAGTACACTGAGTGCACAGGGCCTGAGATGATTCTCAAAAATCAAGCTCAGTAGGGCTGGGGATTTAGCTCAGTGGCACCGCGCCTGCCTTGCAAGCACCAGATCCTGAGTTCGATCTCTGGTACTGCAAAAAAAAAAAAAAAAATCAAGGGTGAGAAAAAAGCCTTACCTCTAAAAGAGGGCTGGGGATTTTGTTCAGTGGTTC